ATTATATAAAATGAACAATTTTTTTTATAATATAATGACTGTTAGTGAACAGTATAACGTATTTTTTGTTACAGTCCCACCTGTTCTCATATTATAATCGAGATAACTTTGGTAGATAGTAGACTGGGAAGGAATGCGGCCCTTCTATGAATTTTAGTAAAGTTGTGGTGGTAAGCCTGTTTTTCTTCGCGTGATTCTTCGGCGTTTGCTGTAAGAAGCAGAATATTTTCGATCCCATTCTCCAACTCCGACTTGGTTACAAAGCTTGGCCTTAGAATACGCCAAAACTGAGGCTTGTGCACAATCTGCACCACCAAGCCTGGGTCCATGCTTGTGACTACAAAATCTTCATCGATGCAACATCTTCTCACGGTTGTCACAGGGCCACCCCTTTACTAAGACTCTTCTCAAAATCTTGAAGGCCTTTGACAAGACAAGTTTGCTCAGCAAACTTCTTCCTTATGGCAGCCCAGTTCATTTTTGTTGTTGGGATTTCTTCGGCTGATTTTCCAACTAAATGGCCAGGTTTCTGTAGGAGTCTGTTATCACTAAGACTTTCTGCTGCTTATCAATTTACTGCTTTGCGTGCGCGTTTAATAGTACCGACTTAGAGTGATACTTGCTGTAAGCAAAAACAGTTGGAGATGAAATGCCTCCGTCTGTTAACGAAAGCCAGTGAAGTGAGAATAAGTTTGACCTTAAGCCAACAAACTCCTAATGAGTTGACGACAATCGGGTCTTATACAATGCCAACAAAATCCCAGCGTATCGTTGATTCAACGCTAAAAATAATCCTCTTGAATTGGCATCTACTTTTCGAGATGCATCTGTTCCTGCCCCTGAATAGCTTATTCCCCAAGGCATAGCTCCGATCAAACCAAACTCAAACGGTGGCTATGAAAAGGGAATCTTAAACAAAGTGAGGGATACCTTACACCTGAACAGCTTCAACCTCTTTGATCAAGGATCCTGCATTTACTATAGCAGTCACGTCAGAAGATGGCATACTTGACTTGGTTGAACGTAAAGCTTTATTGGCGACGATTGAGCAATTGGTTATTACCTACCATACTTCATAATTTTACACACACTACCTTGTTTCGCCAGCTTACTTCCACCACCAGCCTCTTTCACCATCGGTCTATTTTTATGCACGCATTTCAAAACACCTGTACCTGGTTGCCATTCCACCAATTCGGACGGATTGAGTGTTTTCTACTGGCTTTCATTGTATGCCTTGCTGGAACATATTACCTGCACCTGTGTTTTTGGAAGCACCTATACAATCCTAATGTCTTCCGGCTGAGAGAATTTTTCCGTTTTCGCTCGCATCATCATCATACAGACCGGTCACTCTCTTCTGTCCAATGTACGTAATTTTGGACTACCGAAAAGTTGTCTTTTCGGTGGTCCTTAATATTTTTCAACTTTTCTTACTTTTTTAAAAACTTTTTAGGTTTTATAGCTGTTAAATTTATTTTGTTATTTTTCTTTGATTTAAATTATTTCTTAAAAGAGACTATTAAGAGTACATTTTTCCATAAAAAGTCTTTTTGGTGGTCATTGCAACTTTTCGGTGGTCACAAAAAAATAAATATTTGTTATAATATCTGAATTTAAAGTAAACGATCTCAAAAATTATATTCCTAAGGAAAGATTTTTTATTTTCCATCGAATCACGTTAAAATATTGGTAAAATTTCATTTTTTTTATTTTTAAAATTTTCAATCCTTTAAATGCGAATGGCCCTACTATGTTTGGTACAGAGCCTAGATGGACCCTACCACCATAAGACAAAATAATATTTACTGTCTATATTTGCAGATTCTCAATCTCCTGGCCGCGAGTTATGCCCTACGGCCGTAACTACGTCAACCCAGAAGGAATAGCCTATTACAACGCTGTGATTGACGAACTCTTAGCCAATGGGATCACGCCATTCGTTACCATGTTCCACTGGGACCTGCCTCAGAATCTGATGGAACTTGGCGGTTGGCTGAACGATGACATTGTCGACTGGTTCGGGGATTATGCGCGAGTATTGTACCAGAATTTTGGAGACAGAGTCAAGCATTGGATGACAATAAATGAACCTATTATACATTGCGGTTTCGGCTACGCAAATGGTCTTCATGCTCCATTACTCAGAGATCCGGGCTTTGGTTACTATGAATGCGGAAGAAATATTCTTTTAGCTAATGCCAGAGCATATCATATTTACAAAGATGAGTTTAAAGCTTCTCAAGGTGGCATGGTAGGGTTTGTTGTCAGTTTGGAATATGGTATGCCTAGCACCGATTCTGATGCAGACAGAGAGGCGCTCCAAGACTGGTATGCTTTCCACGTAAGTTTATTACTCCACTTTCTTAAAAAATCATATTGCCCAGATTAGTAACCACGTGTAGTTGGCTGATCTTGATTCTATATCAATGCTCATATCAGGTTTTGATGTAATCATTATCTATATTGGAGTGGCAGCTTTAAAAACGAAAGGAATTACTTCAATTGACGGCTGTAATATTGGTATCTCTCTTGTCTTCTAATCTGCAATGTAAATATAAAAGGGTTGAATGCTTTGAGATTGAATACTTTAGGATACTTTGCAACCAGCAAAAGCAATGTGGATACCATGTGTTATCTTTTAATTTCAGGTGGACCATTTCGTACATCCCATATGGTCTGAAACCGGCAACTACCCGCAAATTATGATTGAAAGAGTAGCAGAAGCTAGTGCAGCCCAAGGGTTGAACTCATCAAGGCTTCGCCCGTTTACTGAAGAACAGATAGCATACATGAAAGGGGCAGCCGACTTTGCAGGAGTCAATCATTATGTATCAACATACGTTTATAGAAATGAATCTATTGCCGGCACGTTTCAAGTACCGTCGATGGAAGATGATGCGTATGTTGGCACTCATTTTGATCCATCATGGCCTTTCCATGGGTTCAATTCCGTAAGTTACAGGTTTTAAATTTAGAAAATCTGCAATACGCATATCAATAACTTAGGACGCATTTTAGAAAAACCTATTTGTATTTTGCAGGAATACCCTCCAGGCATGAAAGGGGTCCTTTTATATATGAAAGACAACTATAACAATCCTCTCATGTACGTCACAGAAAACGGGTGTGGTACGACTAATCTTGGTCTAAATGACGATGACAGAGCTGGTTACTACAGAGGTTATCTTCAAGCAGTAGCTGATGCCGTGGCCGAAGGTGCAAATGTTAAAGGGTACTTTGCATGGAGTTTGATGGACAACTTTGAATGGACTTTTGGTTATATGTAAGTATTTTCATATGGGTCTAAAATAGGAAACATAGATATCTTTATAAACTTATATAATCTTTTCTGTCAGTGGTGAAACTTTCATCTATATAAAACAAATAAATTGCCGCAATAAAACTCTTTAAATATTTCATAGAATCCGATTTGGCCTATACGAAGTGGACCAAAACGACCCGAACAGGACTAGGACTCCAAGAAAATCTGCTCTTGTCTACAAGGAGATCATCAGAAGCAAGGAGATCGACCTGACTTACAACCCTGATCCCTACGCGGCCCTAGAACGGGAAGATGTACCAAGTGAAGTGACGCCAGATGGAGCAGCATCATTTTATGCTTCAGCAGTTTTTGTATTCGTGCTAGTAGTTAGCAATTTGTTTATGTTCTAGAGTAGTTGATAAGTATTTCTATAATCTTCTTAAATAAAATAATGTTTATTTATTATAAAGTTTCTTCATTACTTTGTATGAATAATATATCTTATATTATCTGACACAACACGATAAATTACATAATACTATGAAAAAAAAATACTTTTGAAAGAATCCTAATCCAAAGTACGAATTCTACTAATGAGTCACACTCGACTGTGCTTTTGCTATCATTGAAAGAAAGAAAGAAAAATGTTTATTTGTTACCAAATATTCCAAACACAATAAACTCACATTAACATAAATACAACACATAGATAACAAAAAGGTGTCCACTCAGCAAAAGCTTTAAAAGAATACACTCTTAAAGCGCTGGTCTTCCATGGAACCAGAAACATGGCAACAGAATAAAAATGGTGTAACAATAGAATTTCTTATCCTAGAATATACTAATGACAGCATCTTAAACCTAGTGTAGGATTACTGTGAATAGGTACCTAATTTACATCATACATATTTATATAAAACATAAATAAATAATACAAGATAACTAGAAATAGCGACAGCGAATAAGAAAACTACAGACTTTATTAATATTCTATACCTAAATGAGATCAAGAAAATAAAATAAAATTAAACTTTAGTAACAACTTTTAGTAACAACATTGGTAGAAAACGTGGCAATTTCAAAGTTCATCACTCCTATAATCCTATTGGTAGGTTTGTTTAGGTACAGTCTGCTGCCATCTGCAATATGATCAGAGTTTTCTTCCCCATACTTATCTTTAATGTTGTCATAACCCATCATTCTCAGAGAAAACTGTATACTCCCAGTAGAGAACGACAACAAAATACTAGTAGGTACTTACTTACCTACTCAAGACTATGATATTCAAAGCATCCAATTCAGGCTCTTGGGCTCAGAAAGAAAGCTATGGCTTCCCTTTGAGCTCCAATAAGCTCATTTTCATTCTCTTTGCCGTCTTTCAGGCTGAAATCAAATATTCAAAATGGCGATTGGCGAAAAGTGGGTAAATCGGTGGGCGAAAGGGGTAATACCTAAGATTTTTTATTATGATACATTTTTGGTTAGGTTTTGTACATTGAATTTTTATTTTTACAATTATTTCATGCGACCTTCTTCTTCTTTTCGGGTGCGTCACCAAGTCGTCCAATGACAGGTAAACCCTGGCGTCAGAGTTTTTCAATCTGGACCAACGGCTTAACGTGCCCTCCAAAGCACGGAACCGTCTTGCTTTCGGATAATCAGGTGGTTCAGCCTGCAATGTCCTAACCAGACTGGGAACAAATTCGCAAAGTGATGATAAATATCTAGTTAGTGAGGTGGGCCACCGAAAATCGAACCCGGAACCATCTGCTTCGCAGGCAGTCGCATTACCATTACGCGTCCACCGCCCGACACATCGGCTGACGTAATAATAAAAAAACAACAAGTTTGTTAAACATAAATAGCTTTCAAGGAACGTTAGGTCAAAACTTAAAAGTTGTCGCGAGAAGACTATTAAGTACCTACCTACTTGCCATTACTCAGCCTTTTTATGTTCAGTCCAAATTAAGTAGTCAACTACTTAGAAGTTTTTAAGTCCAGCAAAAGTTTATTTTCTCTTCAAAGTTTATTAATGAAAACAAATACACAATTTTGTCAAAGATCTGTCTGCAAACTTTGATGGGCAATTAAAATAATCCTTCTCGATGTCGTCTCCATTAGAGAAAATATTAATCCCACCCAAAACATAAATGTGAAAGGCTGCCAAGTTCGCCTATAAAAGAAGTGAGATCTAAATAAGTACCAAGTTCCATACACAGACCTCAGTTAAAAATAGTTACAGGAATGCACACTTGATTTTCCGCAGTTTGGAAAGTAGATTCTTATTTCCAAACTGCGAAAAATCAAGTGTGCATTCCTGTAACTATTTTTAACTGAGGTCTGTGTATGGAACTTGGTACTTATTTAGATCTCACTTCTTTTATAGGCGAACTTGGCAGCCTTTCACATTTATGTTTTGGGTGGATTTCATTTATTTTTGTAAGGTTTATTTTCTTTTTTTCTTATGATTAAGTTAGGTAAGGAAATATCTCATTTATACTTTACTTTGACTAAATACAAACCTTTGTAACGAATTTTAGGTCGGTACGACGATTGGAAGATATAGATAAATTTTTTGTTTTAGTTTCTTAGGGGTATGAATTTACACCTTCATTATTTTTAAAACCGACTCACACTTGGCCATTTTCAGATTTTTTCCTTTACCTTGACCTAAAGACCTACCTCCATGCCAAATTTCAAGTCAATACGACCATTGGAAGTGGTCTAGGTTTATGATGAGTGAGTGAGTGAGTGAGTGAGTCAGTGAGTGTATAGTAAAAATAGCGATTTTCTGACGTCAATATCTCAAGACCTACAATAGGTACATTAATGAAATTTTGTATTTTAGATAAGGAAGTAGATCTCGACAGATACTAGAAATTTCATATGCGTAGATAAAATAGATTTTGAGTTATAGGTGGGTCGAACTTGGCCCGAAATGGTTCGTGTAATATAACCCACGGCCGGTGTGTCGCTTTTTTTGCTCGAACTTGGCGGACACACTGCCGTGTGTCTAGATTGCTGTCAAGATAATAACATTATAAGAATAATTATTTGTTTATTGTTAAATAAACGAGTTTTTATCTTTAAATCTCGAATGCGAATATTATTCAAACTTTTAAACAAAATCTGAGAGTATGAGTGTATGAATGTTATCTCTTCACTCTCAAACGGAATGACGGATTTGGATGGAATTTGGTACACAGATAGAGTATAACCTGGAATAACAAATTGTGCTACTTTTTATCGAAAATACCAAAATACAACTTCGGTTAAAACCACGGTGCGAAAATTAAGAAGGTAAATGTACCTAAATTACTTAGTGAAGGGATCATTATTGCTATGTGTTTAGTTTTCGTATAAAATGGGCGCGCGGTGCTGGCAACACTGCTCTGTCATTGTCACGTCCTCTGCCGTCGCCCGCATCGTGGATGCGAATGTTAATTATAAATGGTGTAATTCAGTGCTTTCGGTTTTCTCGTGTGGTTTTCCCTGTTCGGTGGGGAAGTGAACCAAGTGATTTTGGTTCCGGCGCTTTGATTGAGAGTCACGCGACCGCCGGCAAAATATAACCTCACTGTTCGTTGGCTCGCGTCGTGGCTGCCGATAGCTACGTATTTTAATTATAAATGATTGGAGGCCAACGGGGCCGATTTCTCATTCGGAGAGAAATCTTTTAGTTATTTTGTGTTAAAAAACATTATGTGATGTCGAACTGTGAACTATAGTGCAGATTGGAGGAAAGGAGTTCGAGAACGAGCGGATGTTCCAGTGCCGTGAGTTTAGGTTATTCCCTATTCCTGTGCTCCTCACAATATCCTGAATTTCTACGAGACGAGCTGATCGCGATCATGGGTTCAGGAGGTTACGAGTTGCGGAAATGGTTGTCCAGTTGCCCAGAGCTCCTGGCTGGTTTGCCAGGCGAGTTCCATCAGGACCCGCACCTCTTTGAGAACCCGGACAATCCAAATACGTTGGGCATCCTCGGGGTGCAATATAGGCCAACGCATGACGTATTCACGTACAAGATCGAGCCCGACCTTTTGGAGAAAACTTGGACTAAGCGGTCGGTCCGGGGCGGGTGAATGTTTAGTTTTCGTATAAAATGGGCGCGCGGTGCTGGCAACACTGCTCTGTCATTGTCACGTCCTCTGCCGTCGCCCGCATCGTGGATGCGAATGTTAATTATAAATGGTGTAATTTAGTGCTTTCGGTTTTCTCGTGTGGTTTTCCCTGTTCGGTGGGGAAGTGAACCAAGTGATTTTGGTTCCGGCGCTTTGATTGAGAGTCACGCGACCGCCGGCAAAATATAACCTCACTGTTCGTTGGCTCGCGTCGTGGCTGCCGATAGCTACGTATTTTAATTATAAATGATTGGAGGCCAACGGGGCCGATTTCTCATTCGGAGAGAAATCTTTTAGTTATTTTGTGTTAAAAAACATTATGTGATGTCGAACTGTGAACTATAGTGAAGATTGGAGGAAAGGAGTTCGAGAACGAGCGGATGTTCCAGTGCCGTGAGTTTAGGTTATTCCCTATTCCTGTGCTCCTCACAATATCCTGAATACCTGATTCCTGTCATACTTAAACTCACAAAGAAACGGCGTCATCGTTCGCTCGGTAAGCAATTCGTTGCTGGGCCCTGTTTAAGTAGATTTTGGAAACAAGAATTTCTCGGCCGGAAACTTTCCGGAACAAAATTCTCTCATTAAATTTATTTTATTTAGCTATAGTAAAGAGCACTACGAATCGTAGTCAAATGTTGTTCCGAGGCTGATCGACCATTTAGTTTTAGATTTTAAGATAACTTTAATTTGCTTCCACTGCGCTAAGATCAGCTTCGGAATCAAACATATGTGTTTATATGTTTTTAAGGTTTGTTCTCTCTCATCTTAATTAGGGCATTGCTGGCTTATAGTACCATTTCCTTGTATTAGAGGGCAAGCATTTCTAGTAGCCTGCATATTAGAGGCCTACCAGTGATTGTAGGTGATTAAAACTCTACACCAGGGTTCATCGGATCGTTTGTCGAATCCGTGTCCCACGACACACAAAAAGTTTTTTTTTTATAAACGTAGGTAGGTATTACCTACCCAATTTCTTGTAATATACAAAGTTTCCAAGCATACCAAGCTATTAGAACTTTGCAAAGATACAACCCATTAAATGGCTGTTCCGGTACTGCTGAGTTTAACAAGACTGTGCCACGATACTAGCGCCAGATCAAGAAAAATATCTCTAGATACGAACCATGCGATCAGAATATTCTGAGTATATTCAGATCAGTGTCATTTCTGGTAATGTTTTAAAGTTAAAGAACCTGCAAGTGACACTTCTTCGTCGTCGAATCAGTCATAGATTATTTGGACTACTTATTTAGGACCTATGAGCTGCTACAGCGATTGTGTGCAAATCAACGTAGGTGTACGCTCTTGCAGTAAGTTTCTTTAGCGTGAATGAGAACTCAATATTTTAATGAATTAGAACTTTAAAGATACTACTAACAAGCTGATGTACTTATTAAAAAACAAAAACCCGACTGCGGTAATTACAAAGTTGTATTTTGCGATAAAAATCCGCCGCAATCTTGAATTTATGAATTTTAAATATAGCCAGTGTCACTCGCGCTGCTGATACAAATCTAACGACACCTCATTTGTCAAAATCCAACTATCCGTTTCGGTTGTAGCCCGTGAAAAAGAATTTTCTTGTCCACATACATGCATACATCCCTACATACCTACATACTCTCGAAAAAAATAACCCTCCTTCTGAGGCAGTCGGGTAAAACTGAGGACAAAAGACATTCTGATGGCAATGGAGATTTGGATGTATTGTTGGCATGACGAGAAAAGCATTTTTTCGTAAAGTGGCGCTAGTTTAGCTGCACCCCTCTCATAAGAGCAAAGTATCGTGGGTCTGGGTATAATATCTCAGATAAATCGATAAAGTTTTAAGTCGCTTTTAATGGCACTTGTTTTGTATAAAAATGTTCTCGGATAAGTATGTAGTCGACGCCACCACAGTATACGGGGTGTCAGGGACGGTGTAACGAAAACTTTGCAGGCGTGCTCAGACCATGAAACTGAACAACTTTTACTATGGAGCCAATGGTGGGAAACGAAAAAAAATTTCCGGCCTCCCATACAAAGTCAGTCAGCTGATCGTGAATTTTGTATGGGAGATCAAAAATTTTTTTTCGTTTCCTAACCTAGTAAAAGTTGTTCAGTTTGATGGCCTGATCATGCCTGCAAAGTTTTCGGTACACCGTCCCTAACACCCTGTATAACGAAGCTGGCGAATCACACAAGGAGTGCAAACAATTTTATGAACAAGAAGTAAGGATTACTTTTGAGTCTATAATATAGACTCAGGATTCATATTTATGTACTTTATAAACTAAGTTCCTAATTTGAAGTCACGATGGATCGAATAGAAAAAACCAATGCCTTGGGCCCAGCCAGGATTTACAGTGTGTAGGTAAACGAACATACATAAACCTAAGACTAGGTCCCATATGAGATAGATTAAAGCGGTTACCCAGTGATTTTCAAATTGGTCAAAACATATTGCCAGTACATAACTAGACCATCCAATACTCATTTTCTGTTGTTTAGTCACCTTTATTAATACATTATTATATTGACAAGCTAATATCATTAAGCTATTAAATATTCAACAGTATTATTTAGGTTAGTGGTAACAAAACACACTTCTTATATAAAAATACATAGCTGACCTAGTTAAACTTAATCATGATAAAAATAAAAGTATTATGTTAGTACTGTAGGTATTATTGGTTCTA